GTCAGACCCCATACCTCACCACCCGGCCCAGTGTGGGCCTGAAAGAACCCATGATGGGCATGGTAAAAAAAAAAAACCTTCCTAGTGCCAGAACGCAGAAGAAGTGAAAAAATACAAATTAAAAAATATAGTAATTTATATAATTACATAAAAAAGCATGAAAATTTATAAATGTGTTTTCAAGAAAATTATTACAACAGGTTTAGGCTATAAAAGAACAATTCAATTTTAAACTTTAGTAAGATAAAAATTAATATTAAAAATTTTATTTCTTATGTTTTTCATTATCATCTCATTATCAGCTTATAACTGGTTGCTCTCATATACAAATGAATGCTCTATTTTTTTATTAAATAAATAAATATGTATAAGACCCGTAGCCCTCGCGATTTCCATAGGTGCAAGAGGTTTTGAGGGATTTAGGACACAACGATAAGAGATTTTGTAGGAGCTATTCTTTTTAATTCTTTTCTTCAAAGAGTTGTCTGATAAGTATATATATTAGAAAACTTGTGTATAATTATAATAAAAATTACATATTTAACCTTTTATATAATAATTAATTATATTAATTATTAATTGAATGTTTTAAATTATGCAACGTATGTAAAAAAACCGGATGGTTCACGTGCATACTCGGGTTATTTATAAGATGGATGTTGGTATAAAATATAGATATCTCTCTCATTCATGTTGACCTTCAAAGAGAGAAAAAGAAAAAAAATACTGGCTACATTTTTTAAATGTTTAAACAAACAGTAGCCTGACAAGTGGACATATTAGAAAAAAAATTAAAACATTAATTACGTACTTAATCTTTTATGTAAAACAATATTTATTTAAATAAATAATACAATTCTCTATATTTAAAAAAATGTGAAAGTTTATTAGCAATGAAGTGACATGATAACATGAAGGCTAAGCGCAATGTCTTAAGCAGCAGGAAACAAAACCGAACCCATCTCCTCCGGTGTGAAAACAGACCAGTTTGCAGTTGGAGGTATCATAGTCTGGGATGGCATTGTATTTAATGGCATTGAGTTCCACATGTTTGCAAGGAATTCTATTACTGCAAGAAGGTACAGAGACAAGATTTTTAAATCCCATGTGAGACTTCTCCGAGATGCCGTGAATGCAAATTTCTTTTTCATAGACGATAATGCACAAGCACGTGGAACTGCACTCGCCAATGACTTTCTTTATAGTGAAGATATTTATCGCAGACCCAGCACGATCTCCTGACGTCAATCCCAGAGAACATGTTAGATGCAGTAGGAATGTGTTGCATCCCGCCAGCTTCCACGAAATATACTATTGGAGCTTCAAAATGCTTGTTCAATATACTATTGGGGCGAGATGCTGTTGTTCAAGTATTAACTTTATAGCAGAGCTGATAAACATCGTTATAACAAACACAGAAATTGCAATGCAGCTTGTGCGTGCAAAGGCACATACCATGTTAATCCTTTCTGTTCAAAAAGATTTACGACAATGTTTAGTACTTTTTCATGTTTTTTGTTTGATGTAATTTAGATTAAGTGTCTACCTTTTTTTCACAAAGAATTCTGCTTGTATGTTATATTTCACGCTGTTCTGATTATTTTCTTAGATATACGCTAAATTAATGGTTATGTTTATTCTTTGGACATGAATATATTTGGTTATAAAAAATTCACCAAATATTATCAGTAATTTAAACAGTATTTTTAAATATTATTTTATATGATATGATGATATAAATATGATATTTAATAAAATATTAACTAAAAATCTAAAAAAAAAAAAAATTAATGTAGAGGTTCCGCCAAAACACCTTACTGTGAAGGGGTCCTCGAGTTCATGAAGTTCTTACATACGATGTATTCTAGCTGAATGCAGTGCGTGCGATGAGGGCACTACGTTTAGCTCACGTGTCGCAGATATTTTCAGGAAGATCGAAGGTAGTAAATTACAGTACTTCTCCTTAATGAGTTATTAGCGATTTTATTAATAGTCTTTCCGAGTTGAACATTGACAGCACGTTCCATTTTAGTTTGGTTTGATATTGTTCGATTAAGATTAAGATTGTTCGATTAATTAAGATACATGAGCGATCTGTCGAGGGGGTCTGCCTGCAAAGAGGTCTTTAATGGGAAATTGGTCTCTATTTAGACGTTATTAATGTGAAGAAAACACGGAAAACCCCAAGTGGCCGGCCTGTTAGTGGCCGGCCTGTTGGCGAGGCGCGAATCACGATTAGACCACTGAACCCACTAGCGTTCAGTGGTCTTATCTACTCGGTCACTGGAAGGCACGTTCTTTTTTACTAATAAAAAATAGTTTGGTGAAATAAAAATATTTAAAAAAAAAGAGGTTAGAGAAAAGATTCGTGTGATCTAAAGGACAAATTTATTAGGTCTATTGGTGAATTTTATCATTCATACCCTCAGTTATTAGCGGATTAAAAGGAATTTCGGTAATATAAAAATGATAGTATTTTCGACTATATTATACATGTTTGATGTTATCGACACACTACAAACTTTTTATAGTATAATCCGATTTTAAATTCAAACCATTATGTGTAGTGCGGCAACGCAACATCGTACATGTCGTGCTCACTTTGGACGTGTTCATTTGTTCCTCCAGTTTTATCGCGAACGTCTACCACATCGCACTTCGTACTGCCCGCGTTCAGCTAGAACGTAAGCTTAGGATATAAAAATTTAAATAACATACAAACCATAAACTTGCACTGAGATTTAAATACGATATTTTGAATGAATTTTGTTCAACATTTTTCGTTTGAATATTACATAATTCAGAGGATTTTCATTTAATACGTTTCCATTAACATTTAAAATTTAATGATCATTTCAAAATATATTAACGTTAATAATTACATTTTTACATCATAAAACTATTGCCTAAAAACATTTTTGTAACATTGCTTCCAGTACTGAAGACGGGGAACTAAACACAAATCAAGTCCAACTATTACAATCTATCTGTAAGCATATTATTATATACAATTTATTTTTAACTGCTCGAGGGATTTGATTCTAAATGACATTTTATTATTTATAATAATCCGAAATAATTTATTTATTAAATTTTGCATACGATATTTAGTTTAAAAAGAAACAGAATGTAGCAAATTTATTTGTGCTAGATAAAAAGATTTCAAGCACGTTTTCATGAATTATCCAGTGTCAATTATTTGCAGATAGACTCAGAAGTTGGACTACAAAATGCTGATTTAGTCTCTGCATAATGACCTTTTAAGTGTTTTTCTTTCTAATCTAAATCTAAAAAAAGGGAAATGAACTATCTAGAATTCATGACCCTGAATCATATGTATTCTTAATTAATGTTTTAAAAATGTGTCAAATATAGACCTTGCGTACATTTTCTCAGAGGCCCGGGCAGGCTCACTTTTTATGGGGATGTGCTACTATCCTTCTTGTGTTTAATATTAATGATTTTAAAATTAAATGAAATTGTCAAATGTAAATTATACGCAATAAAATTCTGTTAAAAATGATTTAGTTAAGTTCATAAATTAATAGCCCACTAGTAGCCAGGCAGTTCCGTTTTTTGAACACTGGAAGTTCGGTCTTGGGTTAGCATTTCACTAGGATGGACTGGCCACGAGGCGTTTTAGGGTTTTCTCCACCACTGTAATGCCGAATAGGGGCCAATTATTTTGAAAAAGACCGTCCAGAAGGAATTTTTCTAGGTTTATATGTGTCAACAGATCATTCAAGTATTGCGTTGTCATAACTTAATAAAACAAACAAACAAACATAAATGAATACGTTTTTAAAGTGATTAAATTTCCGTTAAATTAATATATATTTGCTTCTTCTGTACAATTGTTTTTTTACACAACGATTATTAACTTCGTTTGTTTTATTCCGAGTTAACTCGGGCTGAGCGTGCAACTGCAAATTCCACATCCCGAGATAACTCGGGCATGTCTTTTAAGGATCCATTAAAAATAGCCTTGACATAACTTTTCAGCACATATATATCGTTATCTATGATCTGTGCAAATTTCGTGAATTATTTTTGCCGCGAAAATATTTTATGACGATTCATTAATTAGGTAATTAATCGCACTATTGCTTTTTATGGGAGTTTTTTAATCAAATTAATTAAATCGTTATGAACTTCTATTTCACTGATTCGACTTGGGTAAAATTTTTTAAAACGCTATTGGATGTTTTTCATGACATCAGCAAGTTTATTTTTGTTTTTTTGTTCAGTAGAATTTTTCCCAATACCTTTTTTACGGTCCCCTCGTAATATAATAGCATTAAAATCGACAATAATGTGTTATATTTGAATAGATGCAGTAAGTTAGCTCCCCTCCTGCTTTAGACCAATATTCCCCTAAAGCCTACATGANAATTTTTTTATCATCGTAGAATACAAAACATTTCGAATTAAGTTTACAATATTAAGAATAATTTAAGTTCTTTTAGGTAATCTAAAATTTAAACGTTATTTGTTATTTCAAGTTGTCAAAATACATATAAATTCGTTCTAAATTGTTAATATCTTCTAATAGTAAAATAGCTTTTAAATTTTTAAAGTCATCTCAATAATTTTAATGGCTCTTAAAATGCATAATTTTTTCTCAAACTTGTTTGAGAAGGGAAGTACTTTAAATAATTTACATGTTCAAGATTTTTGATACTATACTAAATAATATAAGTTATATTGAAACAGGTTTTTTCAAGTTATATTGGATCTTGTTAGAAAACTAAAAAATAAATAAACATCTGGGCAAAAATATACTATAGGAAACTATTATTTAATTTCAATTATAATTATATATTCATTGTAATATTTTAGAATTCTTAGAAGAATTAAGAATTTTAAAGTTTTTAATATATTTTTACAATAAATCATAATAATAAATTACAAACTAATAAAAGAGAAAATTAACAAATTCTTTATGAAAACTTCTATTAAAGAATGTCATTTTTAAATTTTTATGAAAAAAGGATGCTTACTTTCATCTTCCATGGTTAAAGTAAAAACAAATCCACAACAACACAGCAATTGCCATCCGAGAAACTTCATAGTGTTAAAATCAAAATAGATAGCAAAACTTCTAAGGGATAAACTAATTTCACTTATAAGTCAATCGCTGCCAAGAATCTGCGAGTATCCCAATGATGACATCGATATTTAACGATGTCTACCATCCACACCCCTCTTGAGGCCTTGGAAGTAATTTTGACGGTCAGGTTTTCATCCAACATCTAATTTATCCGGAAAACAGCAAATGAATACGTAAGGATGCAAAGATGAATACCTTGACCGTGAAAGAGAAGACTGAGAAGTCTTTGTTTTTTTCCAAGGTTAACCAGTAGCCACGGGATGTGACGAGAAGTCTGAACTAGTTTTTGCTCCACTCCCATTGATTATGCCGTAGTCACTGGCCGAAAGTTAATATGAAATAATCTGTATTTTTGGAAGCATTTCATGTTTATATATTATAAGTATTTTTAGAAACAAAGATGTACCTTGTTTCTAAAATTAAGAGAAATTTAAATGTTTTACATACAACATAAGTTAATGTAAAAAGAATAGCTTAAATAGCCTTAAAAAGTTTATACAATGAATCTAATTAGAAGACATTAATTTGAATTAAGTTTTGGCGGATGACTTTGCAAAAAATTTTCGTTTACAAAGAGCTTTCGATATATTTAAACGAGTATTAAAAACTTTCCCTAAAATCAATTTTTTTAACTTTATTGATAAATTAGAATAACGTCGTTATTGACATTTAGCATAACTGTCACGTTTCATTTCACTTTGAAGCATCGTACTTTTATTGATAAACAGATCGGACCCTCAGGCAATCTTTCACCGAGTGAATTAATGATAGCCAATTTCATTGATTTTTTTAATTAACTGAACTTGTTAAACGTAGAATGAAATTTTAATTTCATGTTAACAATTAAAGTTAAAATCTGTTTGATGAAAAATTTCGGTGGCATTGAAAGTAATTGTTTTCTTACAGGAAAAAAAGGCGTTACGCATCTTTGTATCCTGATGTCATTAATTTGCTTTAGAATTAGATTACATCATCATTTAAACGTAGAACCGTTCATTTAAACATTCCTTTGTTTTTTAATGGATAAAAACTGTTAGATTTTTCACTTCAAACTATTTCTAGTTTCTGATGGCTCCAAGATGATTATACTTTCTTTCAGGTTATGAAACTTTTAGATTTCTTTATTGGCATTTGATAAGAGCGTTATTCTCTTTCAGAGAATAATAAAAGTAATTAATGAAGGACTATAACTTTTATTAAGCTTATAATGAATATCATCGATATTCTAAGAAACATCATACTTATAAAACTGTAATTGAAAAAAAAGACTTGGTGCTGATTTATATCTTGCTTCCATACGCAAGATGTTCTAAGAACGTGTACCGAACTTCAAGGACGTATTCTTGAATTATTTTACGTAAAAAAATAATGTATTAATATTTTTCAATTCTTAAGCATATTCGAACTATGCATTAATTATCATAATTACTAAAAACATATTTTCCAAGGCAGCATGAAAATACAATACATATATACTTAATACTACTAACAAGAATATAACGAAAATGTGGAAGTGTTAAAAAAAAGTATTTAATATATGATTTTATTAATAAGCTATCTGAAAAAATAAAAATATTTTTTCTCTCAATTATTCTATATTTATATTATATAAAAAGTTTATATACTCTAAAAATACGGAATAATTCCTAATACACCATGTATGTTCATATATAAAATATATTTAATCTGTTCCTTTCGTTAAAAAGATTAAAGGGATTAAATTAATAAAAGCAAATTAATAACCTTTGTTATTAATCTCTTAAGAAACCGGATTATTAATTATTCTTTCCGTAATATTTAAAATTTAATAAATATATGCGAAATAGCTTAATTTTTATNCACTGTTTTTTCGATACAAGCTGATCAATATCAGCCAGAATTGATGAGGTAGCTACACGTACGCAGCTTTCTAATCGTGCATCACTCAGTCTTGATCGGTGGTCATTTTTGATTAATTTCATAGTTGAAAATAATTGTTCGCAAACATACGTACAGTACATTGTTTGTCTGTGTGTTTTTAGTCTTATATTTAATTTAGTTATTCTTACGTTATCGGTATTTAAAATATTCCTTAGTTGTTGATTTGAAAACTTACATTTGTGTGTCTTTATCAGTTAGGTAAGTCTCTATTTTTAATTTTTTGTAGGATCTTTAAGTAGAAGTTCGTATATGTCTGTTGATACAATTTCCTACTTCTTAGATTGTAAGTTCGCCGATCTTAATATAACCAATTGATGTGATGAAATTCTCTTACTGATATGCCCTAAAAACTCATTAAAACTCATCAGTAAGGTTTGCTGATTCGTATAATACTCAGCAAATGTTGAATAATTTGGATGCTTCAAACCTATCAGTATAAAATCCCTTAATATATTTAAGAATATTGAATGAAGATACGAACCAAATATAAGTGCGTTAGGCACATGGAGAACAGGTGTCGACACGCCGTTTTAAAATGCGTGTAATTTTTTATTTATCAAATGCTGGAAAATGATGTCTTCAGTACCTTCCTTCAAAGTACTGAAGATCGCACTGAAAAAGTTTCAAATTTGTACGAAAAAATTTTTTAAACTAAGTCACACTGAAAATCAGGAGTGGCAGTTGTACTCTGCTCGTCTAACGGAAGGTGTTTTATTAGAGAGACTAACCAATAGGGTGGAACTGAGTTAGGGTTTTGAAAGAACGCTCATTGCTTGATATCGGGTCAGTCATGATAGAAATGACTAATTGGAGCATGGAAGGCGTTTTCTAAAGATTTTCAAAACAAATTAACGTCAATAACAGGATTTTCAAGCCAATTAACAGCAAATAGTTCTCTTATAGACTTAACATTGAAAGACTGAAAGATGGATTTTCCCGGGATTATTTATTGAGAAATGATTTTGAAATCATGTTTATTCGTCTAATCAGGGCATCTTAAACTATGGAATGCGACCCTATTTGAGGTCGTTTAGTCAAATCTTGGGGTCGCGAGATTTTAATGCAAAATATGAAAAATAATTCGTGAGAGTTTCACGAGTTGCGCTTTGTGTCACTTCTGGTGCAGCGAGACAACGATTCAACAACACTGTAGTGTGAACTAGTGTAGTGTTGTCACTTTTCAGTGTATTCACATGTCGCTGTTCCATTGTAACACAAAAATGAACAGTGATAGCACACCATTATTGTTTTCGCAAATTTGTATATATCTTTAATTTATATTTTATGGGTCTCGACAAAAATCACAATCATAAATGGGGTCTTAAATAAAAAAAAGTTTAAGAAGCCCTGGTCTAAATAAAGTAGATCTTCCTATAAAACGGGTTTATATAATACAGATTCGTATATAAAGGCGAAAAAATTGCGATCGCATTTGTATGAACAAGCTAAAAGAGAATCGTATGATTCGGTGAAACGTCATTTTCGACTCGTGTCGCAGCAGGATTGGTCGAATCTAGACCAATAGCGGATATTGCACAAACTGTTGAGTTTAAACGAGCAGCGGACCTACTAAAAACCATTTATTATTTAACGGCCATAAAAACTATATTTATATTAATGATATCTCCAAAGTTCAGCTAATTTTTCGCAGAAAAATAACTTATCAGGAAACACGCGGCCGCCGTTCGATGCGCCGCTCCACGACGAGAACAACCTTAAGCAATGGCGTCGTCGATCGGTGCACACTCGGTAAGTAATCCTGAATTTTTTTTTGTTTATAGCATACTTTATATGGATTATTCCCAAAAAAATTATACGTGATTTGAACTGTACAGACGATACACAGCCCTGCACACGTGCCGGGCTCATGTATTTAAAAACTCGTAAAGCATAAATTTCATAAAACACGGAACGTATCTACCGTGTTATAGGGGCGTCTACTGTATTGTCAAACAACTTTTNAATTTTGAATAATCGAACGAATCTTTTCTTATATTTATAGATTACAAACAGAATATTTTTATAATTACTAAATTATTAAAATTTATATTCACCTGACAAGAATCTTTTCCTCCATCTTTGTATCCTGCACAAACCATAGTGTTGAAGACAGTCTCTTTTCTACCCGCTTTTTCTAGCCATTTTTGGCACTCTTCACTATCCAGCACCTCAACTTTAACTTTCTGAAGAACATTCGGTATTAGTTTCTTTTCTATAAAAATAATTTTGTAAAATTAAATAATGATATTGATATTTATTTTAGATTTTTTTAATACTTTACAAAAAAATATTTTTATCAATATTTATTTATTTTAAACTTACTGAAATCTGTCCGACCCCAACCGGTGACGGTAGCCATTTCTCCCGTGTAATTATCCTCAAATTTTGGCAAACAAACTGGAATTATATGTTTTCTAAATGCAACAGGATGAGATAATTCCAAAAGCGCAATGTCATTTTTATAGCTTAATGCCTCATATTCTTCGTTTACGATTTTCCTTTTCACGCCATAATCTTCGGGGGGATAATCTTTAGAACGAGATTTAGTGTCATATTCACCTACACGAATTCTGAGTGACGATGCAGGAGATCTGAGTGAAGAGAAATTTTATGTTCTTTATCTACAAGTAGAGAAAAAGTATGGCTTTTTGACGTTATTGTGATTAGAGAAACCTACCGATAAACACAATGAGCAGCTGTTAATACCCATTTTTGATGAATCAAAGCTCCTCCACAAGATATCTTTGTAGAAAATAAACTTCGTTTTACTATGGCTACCTGAAATAATGAGATTGCCATGAATTGCGTTATTTATTAATATTTACGAAGAAGCATAAAATGCTTAAAATTAAATAAAAAATAAATTGAGAATTGAAATTTTTATTTTTATTTTACATAGTATATTAAAAATAAATGAAAAATTTTATAACCAATAAACATAATCTGTGATGCAGATAATCTATTACGAGAATAAATAGACGTAAATGTAGAGGAATTATGGCTTCAGACCTAGTTCTTGCGATTATTTTTTATTACAAATTACTTTATTTTTATTGCCTATACATTCTAAAATTCTTATTTATTCATAACTATAATTTTCAGTTTTTTACTTTGCGAATTTAAAAATATTTATCTACTTCTTTTGAATTGTCATTATATTTTCGAGAAAAGGTTTAAATGAATTAGTTACATTGACCTGCACCATTGAAAAACTTTATGTTACGACAAATAATACTTGGCATTGTTATGACAAATAGGACCTACTGTATATTAGAATTTTATAATAAAAAATAAGGCAATTATTATAATATTTCCTATAATAAATTAATAAAGTATAAAAATCTAAATTGATTGAAAAAATATTTATATGAATATTAAATAATACATGAATCCAGCTCCTTGTAATATAAATTATTAAAATATCAAAGCAAATTTATCATTTAACAAAAATTCTTTGGAAATAATTCAAAATTTTATAACATATTTTTCCCAGTTTATATATATATATTTAAACTAATAAATATTTGTAAAAATATTCTTCGTTTTTTAATATTTACGTTTCTTCACTATTATTATCTGTATTTTTAAAAATATTTTCAAAATAGAATTGTTTTAAAACATCATATTTTAAAAACAGGAATTTAAATCACTATAGTTCTCAAAGAATGAATTAGATTTAATTTTTTTAAATTTTAGTTATTTCACTAAAGCATAAAAATTTGAATAAGTATTATAGATTTTATGATGGAATAATGACACCACGTATATATTTTACTATAACTGATTGGGAGTCTCAAGGTGTAGACTACATAACTTAAAATCGACAATTTCCCAGTTATGCCACTAATGTTCTTAGCAGGCGATATATCCGAAGATTATTTATATACTGTGTAATTTATATTGAAATATCTATATTTTTATAATTAGATAGTAAATGGTAAATAAAAGACAATGAAAATAATGATACTTTGTCTATGGAAATATTAGAAATGAACAAAATAAGAAAAAGTATATGAGCATTTAATGTGTTTCTTGTTTTATCTAAGTTTTAAGACAATATTTATTTAAACACTTAAATTAGAAATTTCATATTAAACATTAAATTTATATTATCCTTAATCTTTTCAGAGATGTAAAAATAATAAAGCATGAGCCCATGTTTTAAAATCTACTTCTAATTTTTCTAGTTGTTTTTAAGAGAACCATGTCTCTAACTAGGTTTTATTGTTTTTCCCTCAATGAAATAAAAAAAAAGTTATTTATTTTATGAAATAAAGACTATTAAATCCCATTTTTGCTTTTATATTTAATATTAAGTGATTTATGTATTTACTAATATATATTTCATTATGAGTAATTATTCCTATTATTTGATTGTTATAGAGAAATAACATTTAATAATTTTGTTTGCTATTTAATAATTATATCAAAATATGTTACGAAATTATAAAAGTATTATATATATTTACATATAACATTTTTGGAAAATTATACAAAGTTTATACAATTTAAATGCTGTTAAAAAATTATAGTAATAAATAGAAAATGTAAAGATATATCTTCAAATTAACATTCATCAAATATAATATTCTCAGCATTGCCACTTCGAAATTTATTTCTTTTTTCAGATGGTAACTATTATACAGAATTTATTAACGGAATATTAGATTATTAAGATACTATTATACAGACATAAAAATTCTTGAATATAGTAAATAACTAATTTACCTCTCTTTATATTACATAGACCTACTGCATAAAAAATGATAAATTTATAGGTCACGTTCATTTTAGCATTTCTAAAATTCCTCTCATGCAAATACAAGTACATATCAGGTCGTTTATTTTCTTGTATATTTTTATATTTTGCCAAATAATATATGAAATGATTAGAATGACTGATTTATTAAAGAACCTCATACGTAGAATCGAGTTATATCGTTTTCTATATTTTATTATAAGTGCAATAATTCGTCAATAATTAGTTCAATATTTAATAAGTAATTATTTATTTACAGTATTAAGTGGTGGTATACATTTAGTTAAATATACACGTATTAATTTTCATAGCTTTCCTCCCCCTGTTTTTAAAAGAGATTATTCGAATATTCTTTTATTTTTCTCTAAAGTTGATACCGAGTAATAAAAATAAGGAAATAATAATATAGATGTGATTTTTATTATTTAAGTTAACTTTAAAAATAATGAGTAGGTGAAAATCGGATTTCATACTGACCAATCCAGTTCAATTGGTAAGTTTTATTTGTATACATTATTGCAAAAAAAAAAAATTAATTTATGTCTATAAGTATTATAAAACCTACTTAAAACTGATGGACAATATATTTTATAACAAAATGAGCTCTTAATATTAAAGAACCTATAACTTTTCATAATACACGATATAGCAAGAAAAATAATATTAATACGAATTTTNTCTAGAAATTGTCGCGAATACACCTACACAATTTCCTACTCTCATAAAAAATTTTAACTTAAAATATTTAGAATAATTAAACCGCTTAAAAATTAAGTAAAAAAAAAAAGGTGTTAATTAATAGCTATAGTCTTAAGTATCTTAAATATTAATTCATTTTACTTATATAATATGATAAAAGTCAAAATATTTATTATTTTAGTATTTATTTTAACGATTTAAACAATAAACGAAGCAAGTTTTATGACCATTTTCTATATTTAAAAATTTTCTAAATTAGTTAATTATTATTCATTTTTTTAACATGTAAATAATTTAATTTCTATTTTATAAATATTAATTTTTATGTAATTAAAAGGAAATATTCTAAAAATAAAAACAGATCGCATATTCTTCTATCCACTTTTCCAAAAAAGTAGAGCTTAAAGAATTTAAGCATTCAAGGCATGCTTGAGTAAATTGGTGTAAATTTTTACCTTCTTCAACGTACAACGTGCCGGGTAATTAATTCCTTATAAAATATAGGGTTTGGGAAAGTTGGGCCATAAATTTTATCTAGGAAATTTTTTTTTTTTACTCGTTGTTGTGTTTTGTTTTAAGTCATTGTTTGCTGTTTCTAAAATGGACTAGCTTTAGCCTCAGGCATGTAAAGTCCTATATATATATATATAGGCCTATATAACTACTAAAATTATTACATAAATTCACAAAATTTCATTGATTTATTTTAAATATAATTAACTTTTTTCCCTCTAAAAAAATCGATTAAATTAATCGATTATTACGTTTTTATTAAACAAATTCTTATCTAGTTATATATATAAATTTTATTAATTTGTTAATTAACTAGAAAATATATAACCTGTCTACATACAATAAACACTACATCATTATTAGTTTTTTATGTATATATATATACATTAAAAATAATGTCAAAATACCAATTAACGCTTGTAATAATTCTAAATTTATAATTATTTAATATAAGAGGAATTTTATTTTTTTTAATTATTATTATTATTATTATTTTAATGTTATTTTTATTTATTGCTATTTTCTTCCGTTGCAAGTCGCGTCAATCGTACGGTTGTTTAGTCGGTTGCTAGGCGACTGTGTTGATAAACAACGACGTGTGTCGATGTTCGATTGAAGTTCGTATGTTTATTTTAAAAATTAATACGTTAGAAACTTTTTTCCGTTTTAACACTTTTCAGAATTATGTCTAATCTGATCAGGTTAGTTTTAAAAAAATATTAACGTGCTGTTATAAAGGTTAATGTTCTTAATTGATCGAATATCGTCGGCACGATATGCTCATCGTTATATTGTTCTTTGTATTAATTCGTATGTAGTTTCTGTGTTAAATATTCGTTTTCGAATCTTCGTAAACCTTTTAACACAATTAAAATTTTCTTTTTATTATCCTTCGACTACGATGAAGTTTAAACAAGTTTATATTCGATAAAACTATGCACATCACGTTTTATAGCCTGCGTGTTATATTACGTTCGATTAAAATTAAAAGCAAAATTATTTAAATCGTAAACTAAAATCTATAAAAGTCCTCGTTTTATTCAATTTTGTTTGTAGAAATGATGTTAATTTAGGTATAACATGTGGTGTCAGTAAATGTTTAGAAAATAAAACTAGAATAAAATATTAATTCATATCCTACTTTACATGTAATTTTATACTTGTTCCGAAATAGGAAAAACTAGAATACAATATGATGTAACCACGTTGTTATGTGAGTTTTAAAGTCTTAATATAAAAAGGAATAAGAGGTGGTTGACAAAGAAGTGTTCACAGGGGATAGACAAAAAAGTTAACTAAATCAAATAGATGGGCTAAAACGAGAGATTTATTTCATAAAGAGAAAAACTGTGAACTTAAGAAACAAAAGAGAACGTATTAAGAAGGGCAGATATAAGCGGTGTATAAATGTTATGTCTGGACGATTTATAATAAAGAAATGGAGAAAACTAGTGCAGTAATACTTGTAGAAATGCTTTCGTTTGCATGCTGCAAATATACAATACAATATATATATATATATAAATATTTATTTATTTATACAGACATACAAAAATCATATCATGCATATTATAGGCCTATATATAATATGTATGATATGATTTTTGTATACATTGAATATTTATATATAGGCCTATATATAATTTTGTGTATATATGTAATATATAATTTTAATTGCTATTTTTACTTTAAATAAAGCAGAAAATATAACTTTAAAAAATGTATATTTCAATTTTAAACATATATAAATAAGTATTTACATATATTCAAACATATGCATTTATTTATTTTTATGCACTTAAAATTAAAACATACTGTATATGCCTAT